CTTCATTATTTTTTAACATATTCTCTCTAATTTGCTTCCCTGTCCAACCTTCCACCATATATATTCCTGCTAAGTGGAAGACCGAAAGGTAATTAGCTAATTTTGAAAGGGCAAATTTTAAGGTCAATTAATTCCTGATTTGTGAAAACAATTAGAAAAAATTAATTACATTTTCCACTGATTAGAAATAAACCTTCCCACACAATCTTGACTTTAAAAAAAATAATTTAAGTCTGTCAATCTGACAACCAAATGCATTTAAGTATATCTGTCGTTCTTACATACTATTTTGAGATACAGAGAAAAACTGATTCAAAATTTTCTGAGATTTAATTTTTAGGCAAAGCGAACGGGAAAGAGAGAGTGAAGAGACTGGGGAAGTCTGTGTGTCACTCTGTGCTCCTTTTTTTTTTTTTTTTTTTTTGAGACAGAGTTTCATACTTGTTGCCCAGGCTGGAGTGCAATGGTGCAATCTCAGCTCACTGCAACCTCCGCCTCCCAGGTTCAAGCAATTCTCCTACCTCAGCCTCCCGAGTAGCTGGGACTACAGGCATGTGACACCAGGCCCAGCTAATTTTGTATTTTCAGTGGAGACGGGGTTTCTCCATGTTGGTCAGGCTGGTCTCAAACTCCCAATCTCAGGTGATTTGCCTCCCAAAGTGCTGGAATTACAGACGTGAGCCACTGCACCCAGCCCTGTGCTTACATTTTTATGAATAAAATTAGCATATTGGATAAAAAAATTCATCTTTCATTTGGCAATTTTGTTTGTTTCACGTCATTACGATTGTATGGACAAGACGTATTCCTCTAACAAAAGGGTGGAAGTCCTCAGCTAAGACAGGGGGAAACAGCCCTGAGGAGTGTCCAGCAGTGTTCCAGGGCTGGACACACAGAGCAGGTGCAGGGTCCGAAAGACAAGGGTCGAGGTGCCCAGAGAATGAAGTCTGCTTTCTCCATAGGTCTTTGTGGTTGGTTCCCTCTGTTATAGGACTATTGTTAAAGGAAGGTAAAACCATGACTCTCATCCCAACATAAAATGAATGCAGGTCAATCTTTTGTTTAACTCATCAATCAGAGGAAACTGATGAGATGCAAAAAACCACACATACACAGGCAATTAGAAATGCTGAATTAGGCCAGGAGCGGTGGCTCACGCCTGTAGTCCAGCACTTTGGGAGGCTGAGGCGGTGGAACAGAGGTCAGCAGATCGAAACCATCCTGGCCAACATGGTGAAACCCCGTCTCTACTAAATATACAAAAATTAGCCAGATGTGGTGGCGAGTGCCTGTAGTCCCAGCTACTCAGGAGGCTGAGGCAGGAGAATCACTTGAACCTGGGAGGCGGAGGTTGCAGTGAGCTGAGTTTGCACTACTGCACTCCAGCCTGGGTGACAATGTTGAATTGAACTTACAAATAAATGCAAAACTGAACAATGCATTCCACAGACACAATCCAACTTTACTTCTAGGGAAAAGAGTCATCTGCATTATTGTCAGCTTTCTGATGAGTTGCAAACAGTGAAAAATGCAGATAACCTGGAAGGATTCCAGACCTCCCTTCACTTCCTATAAAAGACACCAATCATCTTTGTGTTCCATTTCCAACTTTTTCACAACAATTTCCTTCACCACTATTCATCTCTGGGGTTAGTGGTGCCTGAGTGGAATTGGTGCCTGAATTGGCCTGCTGGTACTCACACCCTCCCACAATCCCATCCCCGAGTGTGGGCTGGACCTAGTGACTAGCTTCTAACCAACAGAATACAGAAGAAGGGATGGTGTCACTCTGTGATTAGGTCACAAAAGACTATCCCTTGTGCCTGCCCAGATGGAGTAGGCCCCTGGCAAGGAACTGAGGTGGCCTCCAGTCAACAGCCAGCAAGGAACTGAGTCCATCCATCCAACAGCCCAGGAAGAACCACAGCCGGCCAGCAACCACACAGATGAGCTCAGAAGTGGATCCTGCTCCAGCTGAACACTGAGATGCTATGGCTCTAGCTGACAACTTGTCCCAGCCTATGAAGACCCTGAGCAGAGGACCTAGGTCACCTGTGCCCAGATTTCTGACCCATGAAACTGAGAAAATAAATATGTACTCTTTTAAGCTGCTAAATTTGGGAGAAATTTGTTACCTGGCAATAGATTATGAATTCACTCTCCCTTCCAGCTTTCTTTATATGTATATCCTGCCTTGTTTCATACAGATTTTAATCATTTTAAGAAAATACCTACTTATCAGTTTATATACAGGTGATGAAACTGACCCAAGAAATCACCTGAGCTGCCTGGGAGCCAAAGGAAAAAGGGCACACGGCAGGCTGCAGCCTCTGCCTGCTTCTCCCCTGCACAAACGACAGAAAACTAGGCTGCAAGCGGATGATTCCCTGAGAGCTAAAACACAGGCCAGTTCAGTGCCCCAAATTACCTTTTCAACACAGTCTGAAGCAATCTACTTGCAGCATCTCATAGTGTTCTTTCACTCTGGTCATTCTCCACAACTGAACCCGTAATAGACGGGTTCGACTTCACTGAGGCTAAAGGGTTTGCAGGTTTCCACATACCTAAGACTCCCACCTATGCTAGGTTCAAAGACTTACATATCTTCTCTCTAATAAGAATACTGTTTTGTTTTGTTTTGTTTTTTCATTTTCTGCCTATTTTCATGAAACAAGAAAGGCAAAATGTAATAAAACCCTTCAGTAACCTTCAGCTTGAGATGACAGTGCTGGGATACTGCACACATGGCCACCAGGCGACACGGCCCCACACCTGCCAGGGAGTGTGCTGTTTCAGGCGGCTAGCCTAGATGCACATGGGCAACAGCCTGTGCCCTCCGTACTCAGACATTCACACCCGTGAGCCCTTCCCCCGAGATTCCTCACCGTGGGTGGGCTGGGCCAACACGCCATTCTCCTCGTGGTGCTGAGAGCTGCCCCTTGAGGCTGCAGTTCCCTGTTGCTCCTCCTCCGAGGAGAAGCTCCACATGGGAGGTGCTGCTCACTCGTGAGGGCTCATGCCTGCGGACACGGGTGGCACCTTCTGGCATCTCCGCACTCAGCCTAGGTAGTTGCCAGTGCCATCCCAACACCCCCTCCCCGTGCCCTGGGCAGGCTGTGGGGTCAGGGCACCCTCAGCCCTCCCTTCACTGGACCACCACATCTGCCAGCTCTCGCCCCCACGTTCCTGCACCTGTCAGCACCTCTCCACGCCCTCCCTTCTCCTCCACCTGGAATCCTGCCTGGGTGCCCAGGGCCTCCTGACTGTGGAGCTCATGACGGGCCCCAGTCTGCCCCTGGTACACCGTACATCGAAGCAAGAAGTGAGGTCAAAGAACTTGCAAATATGCTCGTCTGGTGTTCCTGATTCTTGTCTCACTGGAAGCTGAACATTAGCCTTCCATCACTCACATCCTGGCTGGGACAATCCTGCTGCCTCATCTGCCTCCCCATGCATACGGTCATGCAGTCCTTCCGGCCATATTAGACACTTCCCAACAAAACACTCTTGAAAGCAAAGGAAAAGGCAAGCCTCTCGCTGGGAGAAGATCCTGCAACATGGGACCAGAGAAAGTTAATTCTCAGAATATTCAATACGAATCTGGGAGAAACAAACACATTCAGTGTATAACAGAGAACATTTACTGCAGGCTGTTTTTAATAGTATACGCTGCGGGGGTGAGGAGCAGAAACTGAAAAGCCGCCAACAGGAGAACATGTATGAATGGTGGCACGTTCACATAATGAAATTCTATGCAAGGAGTTCACAAGAATGAACGAGAGCCACAGGCATCAGCATAGAGAAACCTCGAAACACGTTGCCAAAGAGAGCAACTCGAAGTTTCACCATTTGCAAAACGACAGCATAGACTCTCAGTCAGTAGAAACACTCAGTGAAGGTATGAGCACGCAGGCTGGGGAGCTCCCCCTGGAGGGGGCAGGGTCACAGCAGCAGCACGCACCCCCCTCCGCATGCAGTTCTGTGGTGCTTTGTTAAAGGCTGGAGAGACCAACACTACTGCAGGGGTCAGGGCTCCGGCTGTGGGAACGAGGCTCCTCAGATCTGCCATGTAATCGATATGCCCCAATAAAGACAGGCAGAGACATGTACTCATAGGATGCTGCTTTTCTCATTACAAGGACATCTGCGTGAACTGCAAATTATGGATTTGGAGTATAAGGACTGACATGTAAAATCCATTCATTGTCTTTACATAAGTAAATATTTAAAGATGTATCAAAATTTTCTCTTAAAGAATGAAATCATGTCTTTTGCAGCAACATGGATGTAGCTGGAGGCCATTATCCAAACGCGTTAACACCGGAACAGGAAACCAAATACCACATATTCTCATGATAAGTGGGCCCTAACCCCGGGTGCATATGGACATAAAGATCTAACCCCGGGTGCATATGGATATAAAGAAGGCAGCAGGGGACACTCGGACCACACGAGGGCGGGAGGAGGGAGGGTGGAAAACTAACTATTGGGTACCATGCTGACTACCCGGGTGATCAGTCGTACCCCAAACCTCGGCATCACACAACATATCCAGGTAACAAACCTGCACATTTAACCCCTGAATCTAAAATAAATGTTGAAATTATTTTTAAATTTCCTTTTATGTAAATTCTGACTTTTCTGACATGAAACTACTCAGTTCCACTTGCTATATGTATAGAAATAAAGCATGTCCTAAGAGACGTACACTTTCCAACACCGCAGAATAATTGCAATACCTTAAATAATACATTAGGTGTTAAATCTTCATGTTACAAACTCTCTTTTCTATTTGTATTATCTTTTGGAGCTAAATTAAGCTCATCACATTTTACAAATATCAGTCATCAAAAACTAAGCCAGGAAAGGGATCTAACGCTGGAAAAATTCTTGGAAAATTTCTGGAAATGTTTCCCACAATAAACGTGGGGGAAGGATGCTCACGGAAACCCAATCTTCGTGAAGTCCACATTTACAAGACGGCACTATTTCAAACTCACCTCCCCTGTGCGAGGAACGAAGCAAACTCCTGGCCTGCGGGAGCCCGGGAGCTCTGCCCAGCGGCCCCGCTGGGGCAGGAGAGCGAGGGGTCAGCCCCGCCGGCTCCCCGCGGAGGCCTGCGCTTGCCCGTGGCAAGTTCAGCGAGTCCCGGGGGCACGGACGTCTGCAGGAGCTCCACCTCCGGTGTGCCAGGGTCCCGCCTGCCGTCTCTGCCCTCCAGATGCATGCTCCACCGCCAGTCTTCTCTCTAGGGCAGCCAGAAAAAAACCACTCGTGATGAAAGGCACACGGGGACTCACGTTTGCACCTCGGAAGTCCACACAGTGGGAAGGCTGCTCCCACAGAGGCGCTCCCGAGTTCCAGCGTCCTGGCCACGCAGGAGCTTCTCACACTAGCGAGAAGCGAAGCTGGACTTCCTGGGTGGGGCGGGGACTTGGAGAACTTCTCTGGCTACAGGATTGTAAACGCACCAATCAGCACTCTGGAAAATGGACCAATCAGCATGCTGTAATAAAATGGACCAATCAGCACTCTGTAAAATGGACCAATCAGCAGGATGTGGGCAGGGACAAATAAGGACTAAAAAACGACCACCCCCCACCCCCAGCCAGCTGCAGCAGCCCGCTGGGCTCCAGTTCCAGGCTGTGGGTGCTTTGTTGTTTTGCTCTTCACAATAAATCTTGCTGCTGCTCACTCTTTGGGTCTGTGCCACCTTTAAGAGCTGTAACACTCACCGCCAAGGTCTGCGGCGTCATTCTTGAAGTCAGCGAGCCCAAGAACCCACCAGAAGGAACCAACTCTGGACACACTAGCAATGGCCTAAGTGTTCAGCAACAGAGAGCCCGTTAAGTAAATTGTGATGTGTGCACAGCATGAAATTCTGTGCTACATTAAACATGATCTAAGGGATGGTTCTCGCTATTGGGAAATGCTAAGGATGTGGAAAGACTAAGGCACGTGGTACACTGTGATGTTTTTATTGAAATAAGTATTTATAAATTACATAGAACAGGCCGGGCGCGGTGGCTCAAGCCTGTAATCCCAGCACTTTGGGAGGCCGAGACGGGCGGATCACGAGGTCAGGAGATCGAGACCATCCTGGCTAACACGGTGAAACCCCGTCTCTACTAAAAATACAAAAAACTAGCCGGGCGTGGTGGCGGCGCCTGTAGTCCCAGCTACTCGGGAGGCTGAGGCAGGAGAATGGCGTGAACCTGGGAGGCGGAGCTTGCAGTGAGCTGAGATCGCGCCACTGCACTCCAGCCTGGGTGACAGAGCAAGACTCCGTCTCAAAAAAAATTACATAGAACAGAAGCCCAAAAGACACACCCTCCAAAACAGGGCTACCTCTGGATGGCGACGGTACCCATGGGGTCCTTTTCCTTTGGTTTTTTCTCTTCTGTGATTTTTACATTTTTTGCATTTAGCAAATTAATATTTTTCTGGTGAGAATATAATAGTACCCACCATAAGAGTAAGAACTATTCCTATACTTGTAAGGTTATGCTGTCCTACTTTGGGGCTTATATTTCAAACCACTAACCATTTTATTTTTTACCTTTTCCAGCATCCTACAGCACCAGAAATGACCTTTGGCCTTGCAGCCACTTGGTTTGCTGTCCAGGGTTGCCCTGAAGCCAGGACTTGGTGTGCACTTTGGCTGAGTTGGATTTCTGGCACTGAGATGCAGAGGCACGTGCTGGGGCTGGAGTTAGCACAATAGTGCATCGCCAGTCCTAGTCACCTTCACAATGCCCTAGGAGCACAGAATTCCAGTGGATCCAGGATGACAGGAGTTTGCTGAGACTCAGAGCAAGTACAAGGCGTGTCATGTCTACCGCTGAGTAAGACACGGCACTGACAGCCCCAGACGCACACTTCCTGGTGGAGCCAGAACTGACTTCAAATACAGAAAGACATGACATTTGAAGAAACCTGAACCAAGGAAGTCCGTATATCCTTCTCACCACTGGTATTTCCCTGCTTTAACCAACCACTTATGCTGAGAGTGATCACTCACAAACCAGTGAGCCGAAGGCAGGCCATGTCGGCAGAATGTTCTTGTATCATAAAAGTGAGATAAAGCAGTTGCATTTGTTTTATACAATGGTTCCACTGCCTGGTAAGAACAAAGTACAAATGTACACACCAGCTACAAAAAAGTCCAATTCCACAAATTCCACACACGAGCTAAATGTTTCAGTATTTGCATTTAAAACGGATGTGGCATGATATAAAGATGACTAGTAAAAGTAATAGTAACAATTTAAAATTTAAATTTTTTTATTTAGAATAATGACATTAAATACCAATTTAAAAGCACCATGACAAGCTGAGAGAGAGAGACTATGGAAGAAAAGAGAAAACTTTATATTTTAGTACCATTAATGGCATTTTCCCTGGTTTTTTAACAAAGGGCCTCACAAATTATGTAACTGGTCCTGCTGAGACTTCAGAGGGGGTCCTCCTGCTCTCCATTGACAGTTCCAGGATGCCATTGCCCCTCCTAAAACACCCGGCTTCTTTAGAAGAACATGCCATTGGAATTGTCACAAACTGACTGTGTATGTGCCCTCCAACAAACTCGGAGGCTGGAACCCTCCCCTCTAATGGGATGGTGTTCAGAGGTGCGGTGTCAGGGAGGTGACTGGGATTTGGAGAGGCCCTGAGGGTAGAGCTCTCCAGACCCTTCCGAGAGTCGCGGGAGACCTCGGCTCCTCTCTCCACCATGTGGGGACACGGTGAGAAGGTGCTGTCTGTGAACCAGGAGGTGGGCCCTCCCCAGACGCTGAATCTGCTGGTGCTGTGATCTGAGACTTCACAGCCTCCCAAACTGTGAGAAATGATGTTTGTGGCGTAAGTCATCAGTTTACGGTGTTTTGTTACAGCAGCATGAATGGACTCACACAGGAACATACCACCCACCCTTAGTACAACAAATGTCCACTCTCTTTCAGGTCATGTCCCTTCTCCAAGGCCTCACTCCCCTCTTTCCCAGTGGAACCTCTGTGGTCCAGCAAACACCCTCCTCTTACTTGCCCCAAATCATTCTCTCAAACTTACCTGATAAACGAGTTTTTTATTACTGCAAAACAAATCACCACAAAGTACACAGGTTTAAAAGCACACATGTGTATAATCTCAGAGTTTCTGTGGGTCAAGGCCAGGGTGGCTCAACTGGGTTGTCTGCTTGGGATCTCAAGGGGCCACTGGGCTGTGATTTCATCTGGAAGCTCAACTGGGGAAGAATCTGCTGCCAAGGTCACTCAGTGCAGACAGGATCCACGTCCTGGTGGCTGCAGGACTCAGGGACGCAGCTTCTTGCTGACTGTGGGCCAGCAAGAAGTTTATGGTGTTTTGTTACAGGAGGCCCCCTTCACCCCAACAGGCTCCTGCATCCTCACCATGTGGGCTCCTCCAGTATGTCTGCTTGCCTTCTCAGGCAACAAGGAGCATCTGGAGAGCGAGCAGCAGTGAGGCAGAGTTTTATAGGCTATTACGTGTCAGGGGGACATCCACCACTTTGCTGTATCCTGTCAGCTGGAGGTCAGTCCTGGGTCCTGCCTGCCCACACTCAAAGGAAGACGACTAAACCAGGGTGTGAACACCAGGAGGTGGGGACCATGGGCCTCTGGAGTCTGCCACCCATGGCCAAATCCCAACCCTTCTCAGCCGCTGAACATGGCTGTAGAAAACCTTCCTTGCTGCCTATGCCTGCAGATGACATCATATGAGGAACCCCAGGTGGGCCCCAGTACTGCCCAGCAATCCCACCACACCTCCCCAGGCAGTATACGCACCTGCTGTCCTCCACTCCCTGCTTAAACCCCACACACCCATCCCCCTTTCACTCCCAGCTGCTGCCTCTGCCTCTTGCTCCCTTTACTGACCGAATCAGTCAGGGTCCAAGAAGGAAATAGAAGCTACTCTGAGCACTTCTGGAAGGAGCTGGAGCCCCAGAAGGGATACCCCAAAGAAGAGTGCGGCATCCTCCCTTCCCTAATCCCCTACTCGCCCAGAAGAGTCTCCTATTGGCTGAACCCAAGCCAGAGCCCAAGCTGGAGTCAGACACTGGGATTCAGAACACAGTAGGGCAACAGTGAGGAATGTCTCCAAGAGCAAAACGTCCCAGAATAGCCATGCTGGTAAAACTAGAAGCAATGAGAATAAAAGCCCAGCCTCTCAAGGACACACTTGTCTACAGCCCTGCCAGGTACAGTGGAGCCCACCTGCTCCCACCCCCGGCCAGACTGCACTGTTGCATCCCTCCCCACCCTGAACCTCACAAACTGACATGCAAACGTACTGTCCTATCTGCCAACACTAAAAATACACAGCTCAGGACTTGGGTTTTCAGGAAGACAGAGAAGACCTACTTTTCCCTGTTCTTCCTGCTAAGTACAACTAAAAACCTGACGTTTAGAACAAAAAGCCCCAAGGGAAGCCTGTCCCCAGCCAAAGGACCAGGAAATAGGTAGCCTAGCAAGACAGAAAGCTTTTAGACAATATCTGTTCTACTGCAGCCTAATACGGTAGACCCATATCCACTCAGGAGAGCAAAGGCTGAGTGGGCATCCTCCAAAAGATATTACACAGTGCCTGGCCCCCAGTCCTCACACGGATGCTTCGTAAAAGGTTGAGCAGGGAGTTTGGACATTCACTGGTTGCTGGGTGCTAGGGAGTTCCACCTCCTCCCTACACACCCCTCCCCCAATGGCTTAAGTGGGGACCACCATGTGAGGAGCCTGGACTTCATCCCTGCCCTGCAGTAAAAGGGACCCCTCTCCTTCCTTGCTGACATGGTGTCAGAGGAGGCCAAATGGGGTGTCAGGGCCTTCACTTCTGCTCAGCAGTAATGAGGCCACCCCCCAGTGGTGTCACTAGAGGTCAGTAATGAGCAGTAACGAGATGCCCCATTCCACTCAGCCAGGGTGATATCAGCAGAGGCCTAGTAAGAGGCAGAGGTCCCACACCCACCCAGCAATAAGGGGGAATCCGTCCCCATCTTGGGGAACCTGAACTTCTAACCCTATCTGGCAGCAATGTCAGGCCCTTCTGCTGGAGCAGTGTCAAGGGAAGCCAGCTAAACAGAAGGTTTAAGTGGTGATTAGAGTCTTATAATGTAATACTCAAAATATGCAGGTTTCACTCAAAACCACCTACCATAGTGATAACCAGGAAAATCTCAACTTGAAAGAAAACAGACAACGACACCAAGATGATGGAGATGTTAGAATTATCTGAAAA